CTCGAATCCCCTCGGCAAACCATCGTCATTTTACGAGCACACTGTCCCGTTTTGGGTCGAGGGACCACCTCTTTCGACTGACGGGCTTTGCCTAGGCACACGGAGGGAAACGAGGGACCAGTCAGCGTCAGGTCAAGTGCGAAGAGGCGACGGAAAAGAAAAAAAAGAGGAACATCCCATTTCTTGACTTGCATCTGCAAGCTCCGAGCGCCATCTCCCGCTCTTCTCTTGTACTTCCGCACCTTGCGACACGCACCTCACAGATCAAAAGAAACACTTACCACTGGCTGACCGACTGGCGTAACCAGCCGACCAACTGCGCGTCTTTTTTGGCACAAAGAGCCACTACTGCCACACTAAATACTCCCCCCAGCTCGAGCTGCATCCTTTGCCGTCCACCTCCACCAATCTACCTCCCGCCGCGGCCTCTGGTTCCAGCATAACCCTCGTCATCCTCGCTAACTTTACTTTTGCTGCACGCCTGCACGCCTGCAACCGTGCTCTGCACCTGTGCACGCCTTGCTTTCCGCGCCGGGCTTTCTGTTTGTCGCCATCGCCATCCTCGTTGCACTTCAATATTCCCGTTGTCGCACATTACTGAAGAGGCGGGGAGCTGAGGCGCTCATCAGACGCAGGCACCCTTCCTAAATCTCGAAGTTTGGGTCACCCAGCTCTGTGCTGCCTGGCAGCTCCTGGCGTGCTGATGCGGGTGCAGAGCCTGCGCATCATCACCACCACCACTACTCCCTCCAACACCACCATTTCATCGCCGCGGCGCTGAAATGTCCATCTATCCACCTACTCGCCATCCTACAAATGCTCTGAATGGTATCGGCGACATGAGCGATGGTGCAGGAACCATCGATCCTGCAGCTTTGAACGCTAGTGGTACGTCCTTTTCTATTGGTTTCCTCAACCTGACCACTGGGAACACCTCCATGCGTATGTCTTGGTCGAGGACGTGACCCTTGGACATTTGAATGGCGCATCGCGGACCTCGTCGGGTTCTCGTTCGATTGACATTCTCCGCCGCGTTGCCTTTGCTGACTGCCCATGTGTAACAGGTGGATTGATACAGTCATCGGCCGACTCGGGCCCGCGCGGCATCAAACGAAGCAGATCTCCCGAACAATATGGTGAATATCATCCAGGCGATGATGATGGTGAGTCCCGACGCCGCTGTTTGACGCGTCGGATTTCACTGACACCACGATCACTAGGCCCGCGCAAACGTGGTCGACCATCGAAAACACCTCGAACGTCTGGAGACTATACTGGAAATGCCGATGCTCTACCAACGCCCGCCAGTCAGACCTCACCAGAGCTGACCCAGACACCCAGACATCAAGGCGGGCCACAACCTCCAGCCTCCACGCCAGTGCAAGCATCACCACCGCGAACCCTTCCCAAATCGACCATCAAGGCGCTGCCTACGGTTAGGGACCATACCAGCGACGTGCTGCAACCTGAAGGAGACGAATACGTGCCGCGCGAATTTGACGATGCAGGCGAGAAAAAGGTGGACCATTTGGGCTACCTGCAAGGGGGGCGGGAGTACAAGATCAGGACATTTACCCTTCCCGGGAGAGGACAAAAGCTGTTTATGTTGGCAACCGAATGCGCGCGCCAGCTTCAGTATCGAGACTCATATCTCCTTTTCAACAAAAACCGGTCCCTCTTCAAGATCATTGCTAGTGTCAAGGAGAAGGAAGAGCTTGTCAACCGCGAAATCCTGCCTTATTCGTACAGGTCGCGCCAGATCGCCGTTGTGACCGCGCGTTCAATGTTTCGACAATTCGGCAGTCGCGTCATTAAAGACGGTCGAAGAGTTCGAGACGATTACTGGGAAGCCAAAGCTATCAAGCAAGGATTTACTGAACAGGATGCTGCTGGCGAGAAGCGACCTGGAGCTGCGAGAGCTAGGGAGGCCGCAGCCCAGGACCAGCTCAATGCTCGCGCGACCGCCGCTGCGGCCTACGGTGACATTGTTTACAGTAATGGCCCCGGCTATGGTGCCGTGCAACCGCCAGCGCTTCATTCAGGGATCGCATCAACCATGGCGCAACTGGCTTCATTCGACCCTGCCTACGAGTCTCGGTACAAGGATATCGTGCGACCGAGGCATGAAATCACAGGTCCGCCATACCAAGATCTGACGCGATCAACTTCGGATGCGGAATTGGCCAGTCAAGCCAGTCATGCGGCCGAGTACAGCAAGACCATCAATCAACAAAATCGATATAGGCGCGGGCTTGTCGAAGACTACTGGCGCAGACCGCATGAACCGCCTGTATCGACACCTCCTGCGGAAGCTGCTGAAGTTGTTCCCACGACTCATCCTTTTTCGTCTCCCCGATTTAACACGAGCGATGTTCCTTCCACCCAGCCTAATACAATGTCTCATCCTTCTCAACCTCTACCATCCTCGATGAACCCACCTTCATTTCCCCACCAACAACCTCCTATTCAGTCGCCAGTCCGTCAACCAAATCTGCAACAACCTTTCTCGCGGGAATCATCTCAATACACTCCTCAACACTCAGGTTATCAAAGATCTTCAAGTCTTACTATCTCGCAGCCGGGCTCCCAACCACAAGCTTTACCCTTTGGGAGTGGAGGTTTCCCTCATGGAATCAACTCACAGCAACAGCAGCAACCGCCGCAGCCGCCACAATCACAGTCGCAGCAGCAGCAGCAACAGCAACAACAGAACTGGGGAGCTCCTCCACCGCAGCCTCACCAATCTCCAGCTGTCCATCGCATGACTACACCTCAATTCTCGCCCAGCTTAGCCCAAGGACAAATCCCTTCGCCATTACCCGGGGGACAACACGCTAGTCCATCACCACATCCGCAACAAATGCAGCCACCACAGATGCCATTGCTCCATCATCAAGGGAGTTCTGGTGGAATCGGAGGACAGCAGCTCTACGGGCCTGGAGCAGGACTGCAGGCGATGAATGCAGCTGCAGGATATGGCGCTCTTGGGATTGGCCAGAGAGGCATTTATCCCATGGGCGGACAAAACCAGTTTATGCAGCCCAATCCTCAACATGGACAAGGATGGCCTGGACCTCAGAATCAGGGTCAGGGAGGTGGACAGTGGACACAAGGATTCCAGTAGGTCCGGGACTCGGATTGATTTTGAGATTTAAAGACACCATTAAACACAACAACACAACAAAAAAAGAAAAGGAGATTGTTAATGGACGAGGGGGTCTTCTCCTTTGCAACATGCATCATCAGTTGGACAGGATCCGACTTATTCTGAGAATTGTATACTCAGTTCATTGGTCGCCACCTGGATCACAGGACAGCACAGGACAATGGCCGATACAGTCAGATATCTTGTTCTTAGGGTTTTGACTTATGAAACGCATCGGGGAGGTGTTGCATAGCGTGGCAGGCATAAGAGAAATCATCGGAGGTTTTTGGATCGCTGAGCAATTCATGTTGGGAGGGTGCACAGTGAAGCGTATGGAAGGGATGTCGGATGCATTTGAAAAGGTGGATTGCGAGCACCTGTGGGCTATTCTTTTTTCTAAGGGGGTTCTCATCGTCCTTTCTCTACCTCTTTTATTGATCATGCCTTCGTATCAGCTCTTTTGTTTGGGGGAGGGACAGAAGGAGGCGGTTGCGCTCGGTGTTGATGAGTTCCGGGGTTCAGAATATGTGGTATGTTGCCTCCTCCAAAGGTAGCTGGATGTTTTTTGGTTCCACGGTCCTGTTTTTTTCCTTGTGTATTATCACCTTTCGCAATCTGCCTCTCTCCTTGCCCTTTTTTTTTCCTGATTTTTCTTGGTCTGTTGCATTTGAGGGATTCTCATGGCATTGGAAACGAGGGACACGAACGGGATGGGAATGGGAATGGGAAACATGTTTGCGAAGTTTGTGTTGCTGGTTTTTTTTGGGGATCAGGCCTCTCTATCACACAACCTACCTACTTACCTACCTACCTACCTCCTCGCCTTATCTACCTACATAGCAGTTTTAATCTGTGAATTGCAAATTCGAGCTTTTAATGGTGGAAAAACACACTTTTACGGTCCACGCATATTGCGAGATGAGCCTGTATACCTTTTCCTACGCATAAGTTGTGCCATGAGTAGTAAGTAGGTACGTAGGAACTAGACAGAGGTTGTTGTCACCGCTGCTTACACTCCATTTTCTCAGTCGATGGAATACAAAGTACAAGTGACAAATACATATATCCATGATCACAGGGTTCTGGCATGACTTGAGCAAGTGGGGACAATTCACCTCTTGGGAGTCGCAAAGGCTGAAGGGGTACAAAAAAAGAGGAAGAATAGACAGACAGGTAGACAGACAGACAGACACACGGACATCTGTGGCCCACTACCCACATATCCAGAACTGCCAGTTTGCCAGTCCTACAGTATGATGATGATGATGATGTTGTCGTTGTTGTCGTGGGGTCAACTTTGGATCTGCCGGGTCTAGAATGGGCCCCACGCGCGAGGTATGGAGAGATGGAGAGATGGAGAGAGGGAGTGAGCAAAGTGGGCGAACCGCGGGCAGCGGGCAGATCGCCCTCCTGATCGTACAAAGCCTCGTCGACTCGGAAATGCCATTTTCTCGCGGGTTTCTTTAAAGCTAGCGGACGGGTGGTATTCGCATCGATGCCTTTTTGTTGATTCTCGATTGTTTCTTGGACGGTTCACATATATTCACACACGTTCGTTCACCGTTCACAGGCCCGGAGCGTGAGTTACGCCGATAAGCGAGAGGGGACGCATTCTAGTCTTTCTTAACTGCTGTCCATCCATCCAACCATATCCCAAGCACAACCGCCGTGGTATAGTGCTGGAGCCGGGGTCTGTGTCTGGTACATTGTATATCCAACCATCTCCAAGCTCCGTGACCGACGACAAAGCACAGATGGGGATACCTTCAGAAGTGAACAGGGAGAAGCAATATGCTCGAGCCAGTATTCCCTTGAAGGTGATAATAATAGGGTAAATTGACGATTCAAAGGTCCAATGGAGGACCGAATCCCGCCGAGATACAAACTGACACCTTTTGACAACCACAGGGCGGGCATCGGAGGTCTGGCTGCTGCATTGGCTCTTGGGAAACGAGGCCACAATGTCCACATCGTCGAATTTGCCCCCGAGATCCAGGAGGTTGGAGCCGGGATCCAGTGTGCACCCAACATGCTCCGGCTGCTGGATCGGTGGGGCGTAGGCACCCAGGTTCGACGAACGGGTGTCGCGCTGGGGGCCATCCATATCCTGCGGTGGCAGGGAGGATCTCTCCTGGGCAGCGTCCCGATTAACCAAGCCCATGGCGAGCAGTTTGTCGTGCATCGCGCTGACCTGCAAATGGCTCTGCTGGAGAAAGCAATGGCCCTGCCCAATGTGAAGCTGCAGACCAACACAAAAGTCGAGAACGTCCAGTTCAGTCCGGCCGCGGTGGAGCTCAACGACGGGTCGACGATTCATGGAGACGTAGTGCTCGCGGCCGACGGTATCAAGTCCATGGTCCGTGCAAAGCTCCTGGGAGACGACAAAGACGTGGCAATACCGACCGGAGACGCCGTCTTCAGGGTCGTCCTCACCAAGGACACTCTGAGCAAGCACCCGGATCTGTTGCCCTATATCGAAGAGAAGAAGGCAATTCGGTGGGTCGGACCAGGAAGACATATCATTGCCTATCCTGTGCGCAACCATGAGATCTAGTAAGTGTCTCTCGTCCGAAGACCTTTGGATGACTTAGCAAAGTAGCTTTCTCTTGATATGGCAGAAGTACATGCTAACCACCAAGCCAGCAACGTGGCACTTGCTCACCCTGATCGTGGGCGGGTTGACGAGAGCTGGACAACCGTCACATCAAAGAAGAATCTGCTGTCGGAATACGAAGGCTGGGATCCAATGCTGATTAAGATGTTGGATCTTGTCCCCGAAGGCGACGTTCTGGAGTGGAAATTGTGCATGCACATGCCTCTTTTACGATGGGTCCGAGATTCGGTTGCCCTGTTGGGCGATGCGTGCCATCCCATGTTGTATGTACTGCCCCTTGTTCTTGAGTCCCCGTCTGCCTGAGGTGATTCTGATCTTGTTGGCAGACCATACGTGGCTCAAGGTGCGGCGCAAGCTGTGGAAGACGCAGCCTCGCTAGGAGTGGTCCTCTCGTCGATATCATCCAAGGACGAAATCCCTGCTGCGCTTCGAGCATACGAAAAGGCTCAAAAAGCCCGAGCCGAGCACATCCAACAAACCTGCTTGGCGACCAGAGCCGCTCTTCATCTGCCCGATGGTCCCGAGCAGGAAGCTCGTGATCAGAAGTTCAAGGTCTTGTCTTCGGGCGGCTCCAACGACGATAAATGGGGGGATCCGGAGATGCAGAAATTCCTGTGGAGTTGGGATGCTGAGGCAAAGGCCGAGGAGGCTTGGAAAGGCGAGTGTGAGCCTTTCTCTCTCTTCATCGAGACAATCTGAGTTTGCTCTGGAATGCTAACTTGACACCAGGTACGCGGCGTGAGTCGGGCACACAGAGTCGACTGTGATTTTTGGGTCGCAATCATCGAACTTTGCAACGGCCAGAGCTGCCATAGATCTTTCTAAACTGGTTCATGTGAGCGGCGAGGTGCAAAATATACTGAGGTGGCTTTGTGTATGCGAATGTATCTCCTGCATATCAGTCTACAATTTCAAGCAAGATGTACCCACAAGTATATGGCATTGCCTGAATCCGTGTGGAGCTCACCAGACGTCTCGAAGTCGATTGTTGGAGGAAGTGGGAGATGGAAAAGAGAATCATGTGGCATTAGGACGTGAACGCAGGCTTCTGCTCTACCGAGAATTGCCCAGCCACTTGCCAGCATCTGGGCACCGGGTAAATGTGGTTATTGTTTGTTCCCTGTGACAAAGTCAGGTTTTCTACGCTCCTTCGGATCTTCTACTTCAGCATCCATCACATCGACGCTAGCTCTGGGCACCAAGGGCTTTGCCGGATCATTAAGAATGCGGTCTGGACGCGGGTCTAAATCAACGACCCATGGCCAAGGTGGCAATTGGTACAATCACCACCACCAGCACAACTACTCGGATGAGTTCAGACCGACAAAGGCAGCTTCCAACGACGATCCAGTCGAATCCCACGTTGCTGGTAGATCCCAGAATTCTCTTCCACCACTGACTATATCCAGACTTGTTGATTTGTTCATCCAAGGGCATGAGCCACATCATGACGCCGTCACCTAGCGCCTCTTTAGTATCTGCCGGGAACCCGCTCTTCGGCGGAGAAACCACCCAGCTGCAAGCTTCCCCAGTCAACTATCGCCCCTTATCCATCCCAATACCGCACACTCACTATTGGCACTCCCAAGACTGGCGTATTTCCGGTGACGAGAGCCCCATTACAAGTACACTACATCCTCTGCTTGCTAAAGAGGGTGGAGACCCCGCCTCATCGCCCCACCGCTTTCTTCGTCGAACATGCTTGATAGGTACAAACGGCGGAGGAGAGGGACCCTTCGTTGGAAGGGGGATAGTTGGCAAGGCACAAGAGTGGGAGGTAACGGCTAGTTGAGGCCCAAACCTAGACTTTGGATGGCCCCAGAAAAAAAAATATGGCCGAATGGGAAAGGTCTGTGCTTCATTTATTATGAAAAGACGATCAATGTTCCTGCTCTACCACATGGCCTTCGCTTCATCTTCAACCACGTTCCTCTCCCTCAGTTCCATTCTGTGGCCAAGTCCAAACTCTTCCCCCTTGATCTCCTAAGCCGGACACTCTACAGATATCGCCCCATCATGACGGGAGAACATGAGCACGGCCACCATCCAGCCCATTTGAAGCACAGGTGAGTCACGCAAAATCGCCTGATGTTTGTCTGGTGGATTCTCAATACTTACTGACATCCTGTTGTGTTGGCTAGCCATGCTCACGAAGAGGCCATTCCTGGAACTGTGAATTTGCAAGCTCAAGGTACTTTCGCTGCATTTGCTACTTACAGCTCGAGCCCAAGCCAAGTGGCTCAAAGCTTTACAAAAAGCCAAGTCTACAAGATGCTAATACTTCGTGTTCAGAGGGCGATGATACCGGTTACGGTCAAGCTCTGTTTCCCGTGCCAGCAGACGATCCCAACGACCCGCTACAATGGGGCAACTTCAAGAAGACAATGATTCTGTGCATCTGCGCAGCGTATTCTTTCTTGGGGAACTCGTCCTTGCTCGGCCCTTCGGTCTACATTGGCATCTATGCGGAATCGTTCGGGATTGACCCCAATAAGGCTTCAAACCTGATCTCCTATCCCAACCTGGCCTATGGCTTTGGGTCCTTGCTTCTGGTACCCGCCTATCTCAAATTTGGCCGACGCCCTGTCATGCTCGTTTCCATCATCTTTGTAAGTCCGCTCATCCTGCTTGGGATGTCTGTATCCAGAGCTCAATCATCAGCTGACACTGACTTCTCAGTTTGCTGTTGGCCTGATCGGCTGCTCTCAATGCGACTCATATGGCACTCTAATGGCATGTCGCATCATTCATGCGTTTGGTTCTGGAGTATGTGAGGCTCTGCCCGTGCAGCTTGTCAATGACATTTTCTTCCTTCACGAACGTGGCCAAAGGTTGGGCTACTACACCGTTTGCCTCTGCCTGGGTGCCACCGGACCTTTATATGCTGGCTACATGCTTGCGGGAGGCTACTCGTGGCGGCTATTCTTCTACGTCGAGTTCGCCTTCGCGTGCGCTCTGTTCATCCTGGCTTTCTTCTTTGTCGAAGAAACCTGGTACAAGCGTGAGGAGATGAAGAGAATCCTCGGAGCGGCCGTTGAGGCTTCTCCGATCGAGAAAGGTGTTGGGGCCGACTTGCACGAGGTTTCAAGCCCTGCGCCGGACAGGAAGTCATTTGTTTCTACGCTCAAGCTGTGGGGCGTGTACGACCGTGATGTCTCGTTCTTCATGACTGCCGCCCGGTCTTTCACATATTTCGCCGTTCCATCTGTGTTCTGGGTGGTTTCGACATATGGTATCTACATTGGTCTGGGGGCTTTGGCATTCAACTACACTTTCCCTGCTAAGATTGTTGCCCCCCCTTACAATTGGAGTCAGGTAAGCATGCGACAACCCCTGTTATCACCTCGGAAAGGGTCAAAATGAAAACTGACATACTTGAACTATAGACTAATTCCGGCTTGATCGCCGTTGGCAATGCCCTCGGATACATCCTCGCCATCCCCTTCACCACGTCATCCGACCGACTGGCTGCGTATCTGACCAAGAAGAACAATGGGATCCGCGAGGCTGAAATGCGTCTGGGTGTTCTCCTGCCTGCCATGCTGATTGGGCCGGCCGGCCTGATCGTGTATGGGTACACAGCGCAGGATAATCTGCATTGGATCGGCTACTTTGCGGGTGTGGCCATGTGCAACTGGTCGGCGTACTTCTACTTCACCTTCACCCTTGCCTACGCGGTTGACAGCTACACGGTCAATCTGTCCGAGATGCTCATTGCCATGAACCTGGGCAAACAGGCCATCTCATTCGGCTTTGGCTTTAAGATCCTCGACTGGATCCTCGAGAGCGGCTACGTCACTATCATCGCCGGCGTCTTCTGCGGCGTCCTGATGGCCAACAACCTCATGCTCCTGGTGTTCATGTTCTTTGGCAAGAAGATCCGCATCGCTACCAGCAAGACCTGGCTGGCCCAGATGCATCGCAAGACTCATGTCGTGGGAGAATCACATTAAGAGCCAACAATAGGAAAACGAACGAGGGGGGTTTTGAGGAGGGAGAGACCACGAAACTCATGCGGTCCAAAACAAGCTCGCAGTTTCCGTGACATTGCGACGGTCAAATTCACCTGTCGGCACCTGACCTCCAGTTACTTCTTTCTTGTCACCATATGTCATTCTATACAAGGCATCTTTGTCGAACACTCCCCGGCTATACTTCCTCTTCTATTTGGATGTCACTACGGACCCCAGGACTAGTGTCGACTGTGATGTTTTGGTGTTGCTCTTGGCTATACTGTGAAAATATATCAGTGAAAAGGTCGTGTTTCCACAGAGGAATGAGAAACCTCTTCATCCATCCCATCTTGAAGTCTCTACAACTCCAAGAAGGTCTGCTTCGATCAATACCACCAGTCCTTCGTCCATCATCTTTTTCTCTCCTCTCTGTCTCGTTTCCCTCAATCTCGACCTTTTGTTCATTCCTTCAACCCTTCATTGTGCGCTGACACTGTGACAATGCGCTTCCACGCCTTCACAATGTCTGCCAAATTCGTCCTGGCTCTGTCCGTCTCCTTCCTCGTCCTTTCCTCTCCGGTGTTTGCGAAGGTCTCGGCTCCCGCAGCAAACATTTGCACCTGGACCGATGCGATGCCAGTGTTGTACCACGAGTACGGCACCGACGTATGCCCACCTCGATTTCGGCTCAAGCCGGGCAGTGGTGACTGTCAGGACGACCCAGGGTCATTCAACGTGGTTGACTGCGCCAGCTTCTGTGAGATGAGGACCGAGTTCCGCTATGGCCAAGAGGTACCCTATCATGTCATGCCCATGTGCACTGGCGGTAAGTCCATGGTCTCGCACTTCATCTTTCCGAGTGAGATTCACAAGCTGATGATATAACCTGTGATGTTGGGGACAAAATAGGAACCTCTTGCACCTTGACTGAAAACAGACATGTCGGCAGCAACTGGAAGTTCAAGCTGAATGGCAATTACAAGACCGGACCCTTCACTGCCGGGTTAGTACCGAGTTCATAATCCCAAATGGTGAAGACTGACGTGAGTGTGTTTAGCGTTGCTGGTGGCTACAATGAAAAGGCTGGCCAGAGTGAAAGCTTCAAATATTCCAAGGACCTCAAACACAATGAATGTGGATATTTCACCTTCATTCCCATCATGCGTGACACCTGTGGAACCTACACCGAAGGCCAACTGGACAAGTACAACAACCCGGCGGCAGAGTGCAAATCGACGAGAACAGTCGGCAATGCTTGCTGTAGTCAGGCCGTGACAGTCACAGATCGGTTTTACTGGTTCACGCGTGTTGTCCGTGGCGTTGCAGTGTTTGTCTACCTCAACTGCGACACTCTCGAGCCTCTAGAGGACAAATATCAAGAAAGCCCCTTCAACAAGCCAGGCGTTCGTCTGCCCCGTGGCCTGGGGCTGACGAATGCCTACAAGGACATATGGTTTGCGTCGCAGTTCAAAACTCTGGCATCGCAGTCCGATAGTGCTGTGTGCAATGACCGCAAGGATGTCAACGCCACCGACTGCATGGAGGTTTTGGCTGATGTGACTGATCGCGGTGCCGACGTTGTTCCACTGTCAAACACAGCTAAGGGCAACGGAATCACGATTGGGGTAAGTCCTTGTGTGCTCTTCGTCCTTTGTCGGTCATTTCTTTCTGTTAGCGTCCAAGTCCCCTCAAAGAAGCAAAAAAAGTAGAGAAATGCTGATCTGGAAACGTACAGGCCTTCAACAGCTGCATCATGCACCTATCCTTCAATGAGGAATGGACACCTGGAAGATGTGTGGTCTCCTATCTGGAGATCGCAGCCGCAGCGCAGACCGTCTTTGACACCTGTACCAACAACAACACTGGCATGATTGGAGGAAGCCATGTCGTGAGACGCATTGGCGAATGTGGAGCCACGGTTTCATTCCTGTCAAAGTCCACTCCTCTTTGAAGAGAATCCAGGTTGGCGCGTCGTCGAAGCGTAGGCGTTATGGAGAACTGTTTGAGTGCTTTTCCTTATTGTCTTGAAAGGGGGACAAGAACATGATGAAATGAAAAGAAACACACTGCAGGCAAATGGATGAACAAGCATGGGAGGGAGCTGGCTACTTTTCGTGTGCAGCCGCCCTAGGCGAAGCACCCAAGTCTTCATCATCATTGCTGGTACGGAACGCAGCTTGCCTACAAAACAGGCAGGCTACTCAATCATGGAATGGTGTTGCTGAAGATCATAGTCCTTTTTTTTCTTCAAATCGTGCATTTTACTGCCGTACTTTGTACCTACACGTTCCCGAAGTGCAGATGTCGTCCTGGTCGAGGGTCTCAAAAATCCAGCAGCCCCAAAGGATATCTCGTGCTCGAAGGGCTTGCAGTGCCTACTCCGTAAATTCCAAAGCCTGGAAAAGCCCCATTATTGCCCCCAGTCAAAATCGGCTTAGTGGCCGGGGTGAACCCCAAAGAGGGCAGCCCTGGCGTGCCTTATTCTCTTCTCGTCCAGCTTCCGGGGATTCTTCTGTTACCGAACAGATCCACTGTGTTACTGGGGTTTGTGGAGGAGTGGAGGGAGAAATCTTATGGACGGGGGAAACACCATCTCGCTAGAAACGTGGCTGTCGGCACCGGGGGAGGTTGGGGAGCAGCTGAGCGTTTCCAAGCTCCCTTGTATTGTTGTTTGACACTCCTCCTTTTTCCCTAATTGATGAGCGTATATTGTACAGTGAAAGGAGTGAGGATTGAGCAAAGGACCCGATGAAGAATGCCTGCGCCCATGCCTAATCTGTGAACTGGCTGGCTGCGTCCTGCGACGCGGTAGTTGAGATTCTCCGGACCCGACAAACTGCGCTTGAAACCCCAGAAAAAATTCCTTGGAATCCTGAGATCCACGGGTCCTTGGAACGCTCCTCCACTCACCATCTTCTTCTTCGTTTTGTCGACTCCCAATTCGCTGGGTTCGTTCTCATCCTTGGAGCCTCCCTCCACCTTTTCTTTCTGTCGGGGCTTCCACACACAAATCAGCAGTCACAGGAGTCTGCTCTGCCTCTCCTCCACCCATCTCGCCCCTCCTCGCTCCTCACTCGGTCTCCCTCTGACGCCCTCTCTGTCTGGGCTTCTGACAAGCAGAGTGCTCAAAACTAGACCCTGGGCTTGGAGGACGAACGCTCCCAGATCTCCAGGCTATTTTGACTAGTCGTCTGCTCAACCATTACAGAGTCTCAACCTCAATTACCTTCCTTCCCTCCACCGCTCCCACATTCTTTTCCCAATTCAACACCTCTCCCACATCCTCGCTCCAGGTCCCCCTCCACATATGCCCAAATCATGGTCTTGCGACAGTGTACCGTATGTGGCCGTCGTTTCACAAAGACTGAACACTTCAAGCGCCATGAGCGCTCTCGTATGTCAAATCCCGCCTACCCCGCGCTAGCCTTTTACTCATGCATTTCTAGATACGCGGGAACGTCCCTATCCATGTACTATCTGTGACAAGGCTTTCTCTCGCAGGTTCGTGCTGCCTTTAAGCTCCTATTTGTGGTTGGACTTCGTGCTAACCATGGTCTAGCGATGTCTTGTTCCGGCATATGAAGTGCCACGCCCAAAAGAACGACAAATCAACTCCTGCCAATGCTTCATCACGGAGGAACACCATCTCAGAAGGCGTTCCACCTCAGCCTTCCCAGGATGAATTCAACCTCAACTCTCCTGGCGCTCTTGCCAGCGGACCGCATACGGGTATCCCTTTGATGCAGATTCTCTCCCCCAGCAACTATCTCTCTCAGACGGGGAATGATCCCTCTCAACCTGCCAGGCAATCTTCGATAGATGTCTCTAACCCTTTTCTCGATTCTTCGTCGAATCCCGGAAATGCTCTTAACATCCAGCTCCCTGGGTCGGCATGGACGATGCCTTCCCCCATCGCCACCATGAACAACAAGACGTCCAGTTCCTCGCACGGTCAAAAACATTCTCCATCGCAGAACAGCGGCGAAGTGTCAGCCTTTGAAACTTCGGCGACCAGCCCTCATAATCCTGGACAGACTCCCAGATCCGAGATCGTGCCCAACCAATATTCGGACAGCCGCATTGACTGGCTTCCTCAGCCGGACAATTCCAGCACCAGCAACTTTCACGATCCTTTCCAGATGTGGTTGTTTCCTTCGCTGGGTGACTTGGATCAATCTCCCGACTTCCTGCAAACGTATGGCATCCCTGACCCTCAGCAGCCATACCAAGACTCAAAAGATTTGGTCAACGGTAAGCCTTACGATCCTGTGGACAGGACGAAAAATATCGCCAAGGTCCCGCGGGAACGCTTCTCCAGAGTCCAGCGATGTTGGAACCCACGTCCAGGCCGCGTGCATCGTATCATGCCAGTTCTCTGGAGAGAAGTCGCTACATCACCAATGGACAATCTCTTCTCAGAGTCGCCTATTGCAGATGATTTTCGGACCGCGTCAAACTGGGGTCTCGACACTGAATGTCGAGTTCGACTCAGAGATACCTTTCGCACACCTGCCCCGTCGACATACCACTCTCCCAAACTGCAAGCAGTTGTGGATCCAGCTCTCTCTTCACAACCAACGAACGAAGAATTCCCTCCTGCCGAAATCCTCGATATTGCGTTAGGCCTTTTTTTCCGCCGATTTCATCCCACTGTCCCATTTATTCACGTTGCGACGTTTTCCGTTCGCACTACCCCTGCCCCCATGCTATTCGCCATATGTCTTATTGGTTTGAGTATTCTGGGAACCACCGGCGCTACCAGATTTGTGTCGAAGATGTTCCCCAGCTTTTTACAACGCGTTTGTAATGATTTATCAGCCTGTGCAGGATGTTCCGCAACACCGACGCAGCAAATGGTCCTGTTTGCGACAGGTCTGCTGACGTTGAATCTCTCTGTTATCACTGGGGATAAAGATTGCGTCAACCAGAGCCAGATGCTTTATGTCAGCCTGTTGGCTATGGTTCAACAGAACGGATTGTTCGCGGCCGGTGATGGGCAGTCTCTGGATGCTCTGTTGTCCGAAATGTCGGAATCAGACGATCGTTGGAAAGCGTGGAGCCGAATAGAGTCGGCGAAGCGCCTGATTCTGGGGCTGCTGCTGTGTGATTCGTGGTACGCGAACTTGTTGTCAAAGGCGCCGATTGTCAGATCGGAATCCGTGTGTGTCGTGGCGCCCTGCGACGAAGCGCTCTTCCAGGCTCAATCCGCCACCCAATGGCAATCTCTGTTGCGCAGCGGAAAGAGCCAAAGTGCGCCAACATTCAGGATTGAGGACCTCCATAAGCATGATATGGCACCAATTGCCAAGCTAGGATATCTGGGGCGATCGTCACTACTTGCATTACTGCAGATCCAAGTCCTGGAAGCTTATCAACGGCTCATGCCACCGGATCAGTTGACCATTGGGTCATACATCCCCTGGCATGTCTATGCAGGTGATGCACGCGCCAGCACACTCGTACCGGCAGTCCTCGCGGCTACACACACGGCAGGCCCGCTTTCGCAAGTTGACGACACGAATTGCGTTGTCCTCTGGCACAGTCTCTGCGTCATGCTCTTGGCGGACTTTCGCATGTTTGAGTTGGCGGCCGGTCGACATGGAGCTGCTCCTGCGACGGGCGCATTGGAGAATATCTCGCAATGGAGCCAAACTCAGGCGGCGCGCAGAGCATGTGTTCACGCAGCGCAGAACTTCAAACTCATGTCTGAACGCCGGGTCAGCGACAATGTGACCATCCATAGCGTAACAGCGCTCTTCGCGTCGGCACTCGTCCTCGGTCTCTATCTCTTCATGGTCAACCCGAGCTCGGGTCGACAGGGCACAGCGCCCGTTGAGCTTATGGACGCAGAACCCGACTGGGCTGAGCTGGGTGATATGGGGTTCAAAGACGAAAGCCTGGACCCTGCAACGGCCGAACGAAATCTCACCACGAACCGTGAGGACGAACATTTCAGTTTGGTGTATCAGTTTGTCAAATATGGCGGCGCCTTGTCTCTAGGTGGGGTGGCACATAGTGGTGGCTACGAGGGTGCCAGGAGGGTATTGTTGGACTTTGCAAACCTGATGGACGGGATCAGTGGGAGGAGGTTACGGACGTTTACGCAGGTGCTGCATATCATGAGTGATGATCTGATGAATGTGGATCCGGCATTGTAACCGTTTGGAGAGATATGCACGGGGAGATGGGGAAATATGTGCTGGACATATTGAATCAGGGATTGATATCATATTTGAGGGTGGACAAGATCCGACTCCTAGACAATGTGCTGGGGTCTTCTCGAGCGCATTGGCACAGAAAAGCTCTCGAATACTATCCTCGAGAGAGGTATGTGCATGTGCATGTGTACGTCTTTGTTTATGCATTCTTTGTCCTTGCTCACTCTGTATTCCATGGCTTCCCCCGAGCATTCCCAATTGGGGGTTGTCCTACCTAGTCTGCACGCGGTAATATGAACAGGTTTGACTGAGTGGTGTGCTTTTTATCTTGTTACTCGTTCCTCGCTCCCCGCTCCCCGCTCCGTCGAAACTTGTACATGTAATGGAATGTCTTTGACACAAATGCAGAGTCTTCACAGTTGATCAGATACCCGTATACTGTACCTACGTAATCTAACTACGGTAGGTAGGTGGACAGGAGAGTCGAGCATGTCACTGTATGTGTACGAGTCACATATGTTCATGATAAGATTTAAGATGGGAGGGAGGGCCTCGATTCGGAGAATCAAGTGCGGGGCTGACTGACTACCCAGCTCGCCAGCTTACTGCTTACCTACGTGCCTACCCACGCAGCACCCACGCAACCACGCTACCACGCTACCTATCGCCTATGTAACTACATGCCAAGTACCGAGTACATACATAGATACACGTCACATACATGGACAGGGTGGCAGGGCAGGGCAGGGCAGGGCAGGGCAGGGCAGAGCAGGGTACATGAACAGAGGGGCGCTTATCTTATCTACGAGTACTCCGTACTCATCCCCGAGTTATCGGTACAGATAATACAATATTATCTACATCCCTGTCACTTACTTGTACATTGTCACCGCAAGCGCCCTTGAAGAAACCCAGTGAACCCAAGGAACTGAACCCAAGGAATGACCAAGGAATGGCCAAGGACCATGTCCATGTCCATGTCCATGTCCATGTCCATGTCCATCTCCGTCCCCATCTCCTCCCCTGTCTATATCGCGCAACGCCGAGGCACATACTCGGTAAATACGATACTGGTAGAGGGTGGCACACGCACACGCACACGCACACCCACATGCACATCGAAAGTCGAGTCGATTAACCTCGCTCGCACTCTCGCACCCTGGCTGAGCTGAGCTGAGCTGAATCGATCCGACCTCGCTCCCGGTTCACTTTGTACCGAGAATTCCCTTTCACCCATGTTCATGTCAAGTTATGTCATGTCATGTCATCTGCGCTGGGCGGTTGGATGGTTGGTTGGAAGAAAGGAAGGAAGGAAAAAGGAGATATTTTTTCTTAGTGAGTACTGCACGGTTCTCAATTCTCAGTTATCAGATCTCTGTTATCAGAAAAAGGAAGAACAAGAGGAAGAGGAAGAGAACTCTTTCCCTTCCCTCTTTCCCTTCCTGCTGGATTTCTATTCTACTTGTTCTCGTTCTTGTAGAGCAAAATAGTCCCCCTGTCTGTTGTTGCCTTTTCTGCCTGTCTGCCGGTCTGCCGTCTAGGAGTGTCTATGTGTATAGATTCTAAGTAGCCGGAAGAAAAAGAAAGAAGAAGAAAAGGGAAAACCACCATGGTGACGATGATGGACTCCCCGCATCGCGGCCACATATCACACACATAGAAATCGTCAAGTAAAACTCCGCTCTAATGCTGCAAGTTCCCCCAAAACTCCCGGGTGTATTTTGTAAAAATAAAAAAAATTCATTGCATGGCTCCCCTTCTTGTTGTGTTGTCAGATGTCAAGTCATTATTTCTGGCCGTGGCCTAGTTTCTTGAGTTGTTCGTTGATTCCTTTCAGTTCGCCGAGTCGGACCTCTTCGCCCTGGTGAAGAATGTTGATGTGCTCCTGCTTCAGGCGTCGAAATTCCTCGTCTAGCCGTTCGTGCCACGGGTAGAGAACAAAGACCTGGAAGGCCAGGGCCGAACTGGCAATGACGAAATTCGTCAGGGAGACACCGCGCGTGAAAATCATGGTTGGATAGTGGTGCGCGGGGCGTGGACCACAATGGTCAATCTCGTTCAAGGGAAAAATAGAGGGGTATCTTTTTTTTTTCTGGGTTATACTATTTGGTGGCGATATGGTTAGACGTGTGTCCGACTGAGGGTTTGTCGTAAGGGCACTCACTTGAATCCCACGCTGCTCCCGAGGAGTTTATAAACAGGGTAAACCAAGCGTCCAAAAAGTCTTGTGAGCGAGACACACTTGACGTACTCTCAGACAGACTAGGAAAGTGATTGAATGGTTGGAATGATTGACAGCGTTTCTTCCCCCTTTGGAGGCCTGCTAGGTCTTCAAGTGGCTGGAGGATAAGGACAGTCGAAGTTTGAAACTCGAGAAAGTAACAGAAAAGGTGAAGAAAGAAAAGGAAAATCAAAATGGCAAGAGCAGAGGGTCTCGTTCTTGTTTTCTTGCTTCGGCGAGTCACGAGACAAGATGCCCAGCCTCGACGCTAGAGATTGATCGGAGGCGGCAAAAAAAAAGTGCAGAACTTACACGTAGAGAATCTCCGAGTCATGTCGTTTTCTTTCCTGCCTCTTCTGCCCGGTGAGGCAGTGTGACCTTGATTCGTTCCGGTGGCAGCGTTATCGGTTTGTGAAGGTGAGAAGTGAGATGCAGTTCTTGCCGCATGGGGTTTGGCGTTGTCGCGCCATGTGGATGCCATGTCGAGCCATTTCTGCAGCCTTGTTCCGACCTTCGGCCGTGATTCGGACTCAAGCCCTCATCGCCGTCTTCGGCGCCTGGACTGCGCGCAAAAGCAGGTACCAAGAGGTATCTGATCGCCATTTGACATGCCCCGCGGAACATTCGAGGTACCCAAGGGTGCCCAAGGTCCCCACCGAGAGCGCTCTCGCCCTGCGCCGAACATTCTGGCGGGAAATGAGGTTGTCTACGAGACGACGCCAAAAAGATGGGTTACACAATAACATGAAACATCCACTCTGGAAGTCCGGTAGTTGTCCATCTTTCTGGGAGAAGTATACATCCAACACAAGGACAACAAGTATAGGCCTGTTGGAACAGGACGCCCGAAGTTCAACTCCCTCCTTGCGAACAACGAGTCCCAAATGACGCAACTCCTTGTACCGAGTAGACGCCCTGGTGGTGGCCCCGTTGGGGTAAAGCCTCGGGGCACAAGGGGGTTGCGCGAGGCTGAGACGGAATTGGAGAGCACATGGGCTCCATTTCGCTGCGACAATAATAACGCGTTGGGCATCAGCTTGGAGTCTATCCGCCGATTCTCCGTGGGAAGGATTGTGGCCATGGTCATCTGGAACTTGACATGTGTCAGTCAAATGGCAGCCCCCACTCGGCCTTTTGTCCAGAGCAGATGCGATATCTGCAACTGTATGTACTTGTTCTTGGAGTTTGGGGGATTGTGGCCATATTGTGATCTTACAAGTAAACCTTCTCTCTGCCTCGGCGAGGCACAGGATCGGATGATGTCGCCACCGGCATGTCCTACAGCATGGCACAAACTCACTCCAATAATATGATGAAGATTGACACCCATGCTTACTTTGTTAGATTTTACGAGTAGAACGGTCCAGACTTGTAGTCGTGATCGAATGCAAAACTTCGTTGTCCGTCGTCCCGTTCTGATTAGTCGCTCGCAAAGGAGAGATCATCTTCGCTGGTATACAAGTACTGGTAGTCATTGTGGCTCATGGAATTCATCAATCCTCGACGCATCTATGTTCGCTCTAACAAATCTAAATAATAGCCGCTGGGATATCGTCACAGGTCAAAGTCATCATTCCAACCCAATTTGTCGTAAATGTCACCCTCCTCAACCTCATCAGTGGCGGGGCGTGCTTTCTCAGAAGTTCCTCCTCTAGGCGTCCTCGTATCATCAGGACTTTGAGTCCACCGAAAGCTGTCATCCATCATCCCACATCCCTTACCACCCATGACTCGATCCATCATCTGTCCGGCTTGTTCAGGAATCTCTGGTGCGTCGCGGAATACACGGTCGAGCGGCACATCACTCCTCTTCACCGGCGTAAACAGAACTGGGCGCTGGGACCGAGTCATGCGCAGGCTTTGCACACTGTTCGTCCCCTCAGAACGTCCAACCTGCGAGGATCCAGAAGGCGGATCAGGATCAGACAAAGGCAACCTTTCTCCACCAAGGTTTGTTCGTTTGGATGCCGGAGTTGATGCTATCGTGAACAGGTCTCCTGGCCCAGCCTGAGGGGGGTAAAGAGTTGGCAAGTTCAGCGGATTCGAAGTTTTCTTGTCGATCCCACGTGATGGCGTCTCATGAATGGCTGCAAGGACTGCTCGTTTGGTCGCTGACGATCTAGTGGTGCTGGTCGAACTCGGTATCCCAGGAGGTACCAGCCGAGGCTTGACTGTTGACGACGGAATTATCGCCCCTGTATCTTGTTCCTGAATCGTCACTTTTGGTTGTAGCGGCAATTCTGGCTCCTGCATGAAATCTTGGGTCCGCTTCGCCCTCGGCGTTGCAGATATCTGGATTGCTGGCTTCCTCTCCTTCTCCCTACTCTTCCTGTCCTCTACTTCGTCCATGAAGAGTCCTGCCACGGTCCTGCGATCGGGTTTCTTAAGCGCATCAATTGCGGCCTCCAACTCCTTCTTCTGCTGAGCCAACCGATCGAGCTTGCGCCGCTTAAGATCATGCGCCCTTTGATCTGCGGCAAGATCAATTTCGCGATTACTGAATGATACCGACTTTGAGAGATTGCCCCCACGAGAGACGGGCCTCTCAGAAGGCTCGCGCTTTAAAGTCGGGATTATAGGATTCTGCGTCATGGAAGCTGTTACAGAGGGACCGCGGGAGAAGGTAGTCGGCGGCGAGCCGTGCCGGTGGAGTTGGTGGTCTTCGCTAAGAACCCTCTCGAGAGTCCGTTTCGTAAATGGCCTTGCTGATGTAGATTTTGTGAGTGACGATATCGAGGACGATCTATGCAGGGTTGCTGCAGGTGCTGGAGGTGGATGTCTGGATCGCTTGGGAGAAATTTCGGGTCCGCCGAGCTTACGACATATTGATTTGATTTGCTCTGGGAGTTTGATCGAGTAGAATGGGAGAAGGACGTCCTTGCAAAAGTCCCTGAGGGAATCATTAGCTTTGGAAGAGGTGGTGCTGTTCTTTCTATCATCTGTGGCGACAAGGTCATCGAGGCTGATGGTGTGCCAGATGCATAGACGATCAACGATGGTGTCGATTTCACTCGACCAGTTGCGCCTCTTCCTCTTTTGTTGCCTTTGTGGAACTGCGGCCAAGATTGCATTGTTGTCACCCTCGATCGATTCGAGCTTCACGTCTGGATCTGTTACCTGCACTGGCTTCGCAGTCTCAGAGAGTCGTGATCCGGCGATTTCAAGCAACATGACCTCCAGAATTAGGAGCATCTGCATTTCACTTTCCCGCATACGCAAATCAGCGAATTCTTTCCGCATCTCCTCGGTCTGGCTGGTCGCTGTAAGGCTCGTCGGCTTCAAATCCCTGCCACGCCACCATTTCGCAATAAAGTCCTCCTCGTCAGGCCATAGACAATCCTTGCCCAGCTTCGCTTTCTTCTTCCGACTCCTTTTCTGTTGAGATGCGGCTTGTCCGACAGCATCTTCGCTTTCCTGCTCCGTCACAATTGATGGTAAAGCTTTGATGATGTTTGCCAGAGACTCCTTGTATTTAAGATCAATTTTCTTTGTAGGCAATATAATTTGCTCGTAAAATACGGAAAGTTCAAATATTCCCTTCGCAGGATCTCCGCCTGATCGCACATGTGCTCGTGCCCGACTCAGTGGTCCCTTGACATAGAATGCCAGTGAGGTCTTCGAGGTATAGAGATGCTCAAAATATTGTGTGCGCAGACGCTCGGGTTCCGTGGGATTCATGTCGGCCCAAGGGTTTTGTAATGTAGGGAGAGGCGCAGGTGCCACGGGAAGAGTCTCGCTGGGTGGAACAAAGTTGTCGAGTGTGTTTTGTAAGCCTAACCCTGTGCTGTGGGTGACTGTCACAGACTCTCTCGGTACAGTTGACCGTGCATCAGATGTTGACTGTATAACTGTACTAGGAACGGAAATCTGAGCCACATCCTGACCAGCCAGATTATCCAATGAAGCAGCAATCGGTTGCTGGACGAGATCAGGAGAGCTTATTGGGGTGATAGACTCGTGCAAGATGGTACGATTGGGCTTTAAGATTGACATCCTAGCCAATGCACCGCGTCGATTTGCTGGTTTCTTGGGGCTCTTCGGTGTAGGCAATGCTGGCAAACTCGAGACTGACCCGGTCCTCGCAAGGGAAGAGCGGGGACCGCCATCTTCTTCTCCTCGTAGTAAATCCTCAATTCTGACTTCAGCTACTTTGCCAATTGCAGCATCGTGGCACCAGGATTCTGAAATCGAACCGTGTAAAGCACATGCGACGTAGACAGAGTCGCCAATTCGCTCAACAGCATGGAGGGCGCCATTGGGGACTTGACGGACGACCAAAATGCGTTGTTCCCATTCCTCCACGGACAAAATGGTTGCTTCAAAGATCAACCGGCAAGTCCCAGTGGACGTGTTGAGCCATGCTAAAGGCAGACATGCTCGAGCCACAAGCGTTACCGGAGCAAAGTTGAGAGTTGCATGGTTTGGAGAGAGGGGTTTCGCTGCAAAAACATCTGATTGCGAGCCATTGTTGTCAGTCTCAATGTCACTGCTTTTTCTCTTCTTGCTGTGAGTGACGCTGGAGCCAGATGCGATGTCCACCCTTCTGTCACTGGTTGAAACGGGTATTGATTGTCGATGATCCGGTGAGGATGGTGATCGCATGTCGTGCCATTACGAAGGTAACAGTAAATTTCAAAGTCGAACCGATCATGAAGACAAATCGATCCAGGTTGGAAAAGGGTACGCGGTGGGAGATGGGGACTTGACGTCACGCGTCACGAACAAGGCTGAAACGCAGCCTTGCAGTCTCGTAGCTGAACCTCGTGGCCTCGTAAAGACATTTGTACGAGCTACATAGTCGTAAAATGTGCCGATTCCATCTGTTCATTGACAATAGTGACAGCAGACTACCCTCGTCCACGGAAAGTCCAGGTTGGATCTAATGTCCTCCTTCAAGGTCCCGCCTTGACTTGACAGAGCTTGGAACCATATAATTGAACCTGCCACGCCGGCCGAATTGCAGCTGCCCATAGGCTTGATTGCATGGTTGATGCTGCTTAAGCCGAGAGCAGAAAACTCTACGCAATGACTGTACATTCGGCGCCATAGGCCCATGTATCTAAGGCCAACAAGAACGCCAAAACGCTGCAAACCCCATTCTTCATCCCAGAACAACAGCTAGAACCACAATCAACAGGACGACCGCTAAGATTACTAGCAAACAGCAAGCCTTGTTTCTGGCCGACTTCTGGTACCGGCTTGCGCTTCTGAGTTCTGTATCGGCTCCCCGCGTGTCCGTCAACGTATTCTCGACGTTGATGTCGATAGCATCGATCATGTCGCCTTGATCTCGAACAAGATGGGCGACATCTCGGAAGAGTTCGTTTAATTCGCCCACTGATTGTTCGATCTGTCGAATCTCTCCTTCTCGTTCGATAATCAAATTCTCCTGAAAGTCGACCTCACTTTGTTCTGCGAGCCGAGGTTCTTCAAGTAATTGGCGTTGTTGACCGCCTTCCGCCGATGGGGATTGGCCTGACTGAGCCTCTTCGAGTGCAGCTTTCGATGCCCGTTCTCTCTCTATCGCCCTTCTCTGGACTACCTGGAATTCGGACAGGGCAGAGGCAAACTCTCGTGAGAGCTTCTGATTTGTATATCGCTGCGAAGGCTAATGGCGGAATCAGTGTCTGTAGCATATGCGATGTGAGGCAACTAACATTTAGGTCTGGCCATGTTTGCGCCCTCTTGACACCATCTCCCACCTCTTTGAATCCCTCTCTAGTCTCCTCCAGCAAGTCATGTATCCTTTCCCGACCTCTCTCAGTGTCCTTTTTCGAGAGTTGATTCGAGAGTCGCGAGATGTTCGAGGTCAATTCGAAGAGTCGGGTAGACAGCGACTCGGTGAACTTTTGAAACTCTGGATCATCTCTGTATTGCGGATCGTCCTGCCTTCGGGTAGTGGTAGGTTGCGACTCGAGTGATGAGAGTCTGTCGAAAGACATGACGATCGTCGCCGGGGGATTGTCCCTGGGATATTATCGCACGAGATACAGAAAACACTCGATGGTTTATAGAGCTAGATTGGGTGTGAATTAACTGATCACTGTGAAAGAATAGTGGAAGCCTGCAGAGTGGGAAGGAATGGCACTTGACATGCGGCACTTGCGAAACCAGCCTCCTCCACATCACGTGGACTGGCGTCATTCCCCGAAAACACGTTGCCCACTGCACAATTTTGTTTACATGGTTTAACACAATTTGGTGTTCAGGAAGTGCGCTTCGACTCCCATCTTCACCTCTCCGAAATCTGCGACTCGGCTACCCGCAGCGCTCGCTGGTCGATGGACTGCTTCACCATATCATGATACCATTCTCATAGTATCCTGCCAACAAACATGGCGAGTCCAGCTGCCGCCTCCTTGAACCCTCCCCCTCGACCCTACCGACGATTCTTAACCTCCGCTCTCCATAAACGATTCGTACATGCTGCGTTCATCTCCCTCCTCATCGCCCTCCATAATGCTTTCTGGCTCGGTTCGAAGAAAGACCTATTCTGGTCATGGTTTCCTTTTGGCCCTGCTGGGATCAAAGCGTTACTTTTTTTCATGGCTAGCCTGTTCGTCTTTATCCTCCAAATAGCCACCCTCAATATCGGCAGACAGACGACAGTTTCCCCCTTTGCGACCTTCAGAACAAACTTCCTCAGTGTATCGTCAGTGCATACATTGTTCTGGTACTTGATTTCGGGATGGTGGTTTACTGAAGCATTCATTTGGTCTTCTCCAGACCTTGGCTGGATCACAAGAGGAAACCATCACACTCCCGACATTCTAAACGAGAAACCCATCTTCTTCCGTCTTTACGCCTTACTTCTCGCGGTCGCATATGCAGGACTTCATACTTATCGCGGAAATTCAACCCTCCTGATCCCCGTCTCACAACTGTCAAGCACGCCAAACCCCGACACCAAAGCTCAGGACACTCATCCGATCGAACCTATTCAGACACAGCTGCAACGCAAACTGCTCCCTGTGCTCATAGAGAGTACTCTCATTCCAGGAGCCGTAATCATTGTGGCTCCTTTCATCAATGGCCTCTTCCTGCGAAACATTTTCTGGCAGCTCCATCTTGCTATGGCAAAACCATTCTTCAACCTTTCGAGAGCAAACGCCCGTCCGGTAGGATATCCTCCTCTGGGGCCTGTTTATTTGCTCCAATGCTTCGGTGCCGGATTTCTCCTTACACTGACATGGGAGTTGACTTCGCTCCTGTTCGTGATTTATCTCAATCAGCAGCCCACAAAGTCTGGGCTGCCACTTTCCGCTTCTAGCAAAGATCCCAATGGAACACTCCTTAATGGACTCAAAGCCAAACGAGACGTCGTAAGAACCTTTGCCTTTTGGGAGTTGGCTATCATTGCCCACAGACACAAAGAACGAAGAAAGGCTATTTTCGAAGACATTGAACGGCCTACCGGACCAATGTGGAGCCAAATGGTACAAGCCGGTCTGAAAGTATTGCAAGAAGTGCAAACTCGCATTGTTGGACCTCCCCCAGCAGCACCACAGCCTGTAGGTGCAGACCAAATCAAATCTCTACCACGCATTGTTCCCGAAGTACCGACTCAATCGATCTTTCAAGCAAGTCCGAAACCAAGCGTCAGTGACAGGCTACTAGCAAGTCCTTTGCGACAAATTGGCAGTAGTAAACAGCCCTGGCATCCACCCATAGAACAAACGGCCAAAACAGTCGAAACAAAATTGCTCGAGTATGCGAGGCCGCAAGGCACGACTCAAACGCCAACCAAAGGTATTTCAGATCAATGGATGGCTGCTCTAAAGCAAAGTCGCATGGCTTGGTTCTTCGTGCCCACAAATGCCGCCCGAATCAACGCCATGGTACTCGGATCACCCCATGGAAACGCAGCATTGATTGTTGATGCAATTGAGTCAATAACCAGAATGCAAGTTGCCAGTCTCACAGAAGATACATACGGCAAAGCCACTCCGACAGTGCCAGACACTGTAAGAACATTTACAAAAACTCTCAACATAATTGAAGACCTTGTATCGAAACACAAACAGGGCGTTACGGGCGGAATTGATGAAGTTGAGATCATCATCGCAAGATTAAGGGCTGGGCTGAAGGAGTTGTTGTCAGCCTTTCAGGTATATTTGATTGATCAAGGCCTTGGGATTGCCGACCTTAATCAGGCCAAGAAGGCCACCCAGGCACCAGAACCTGAGGAAGCGCAGGAAGAACCCAAGCCCAAGGCTGTCGAACAGCCGACGCAGAGACGTCTTTTTCAGAAAGATGCGCAAAAAGATGGTACCAGGGACAGGAACCGGATATCAGAGGATCAGATCCCGAGATTGGAGCCTTCAGGGTGGTCTGGATCTAATCCTCAAACCGGCCGTTTGTTCCAGAGAAGAGAGATGGAACAAGTCAGGTAACACCATAGAATCGAGTCAAAATTCAAAAGGTTTCTTTTTGTTTAGAGGTGGTCGAGCGTATGCTATGAAGCTACGGCCTCGCCGGAAATCCAACCCTTGACTTCGGGCGCCTCTCTCTTTTTCTGGCTTTCCTGCTGGCTGTCCCAGAACACGCCTTCTGCTCCAGGAGGTCTTCCTTGTCCGTCTTTATCATACGTGCCCTCCTCGACCTGAACCTGGCTGTCTTCAGGATTCGTTTTGGCAACCTCCCAGACGTCCTCTCTGGCGCTTTCGCACGCTTGGCAGATTTCCTTCATGTTGTCGTCGACCTGTCTCGCTTGCTCTCGCATGCCTCGCCTAGAGAGACCCGCGAGAAGACGACCCACCTCCTCATGGAGACCGTTTACGCGGTCGATCAGTCTCCCCACGCTAGCGACGAGGTACTCTTCCTCGTAGACCGAGCCCTTTTTGCCGCGGGCGCGCTTGCGTTCTTCGCGGCGTTTCGTCTTTGACGTCTTCCGCGACACGTTGGAGGCCACGGTGCCGCCGAACTTGCTGGCGTTGCTGCCGTAGCGGGTGAAAAGACTCTGGCCACCCAGTGTGCTGACGTCCGTGGGCGCCAGGGAGACGTTGTCCGGGATGTCGCCTGCGGCACCGTCCGCAGCCACGGTGGGATCACCGCCGAAGAAAGCCAGAGGATCTTCCTCCTTCTTCTTGCGGAGCTCAACGATGCGTGGGACCTGTGCGTTCAGTTGTGCACGGCAGTCCGCAAGGAGTTCGAGTATCTCGCCGACTTTCTCGCCTAGCCCTGCGTCTGTGATCTGGTGGATCTCGGAAACGGAGCGGCCATCGTGGGCGAGAACGCGCATTGCTTCAGCGAAATAAGATCCCCGGCACAGAAGTTTTGCTGCCTCGGGAGTATTGGAGAGATAGTCAATTTGAATCGTCGCCGCGGCTCGATAGTCCCGGTTCTCGTCCGCCAAAGTTGTTGCCAGACTCTGCGCGAGCGACTTCAGTTGCGGGGCTGTCAAGGGCACAAGAGTCGCACAGGTCAGTGCCTCACGCCACTTATGTGCCAGTGCGTAAAGCTTGTACGAAGAATCGTAGTCGCCCAGTGATTCGTAAAGCGTAGCAGCTTGGGCATGATGAGACTTTTGAGTCGTGAGATGCTCAGCATACATACGGGTTATTGGGGTCAGGTGGACTTGGTCGTATTTGTACAGCTCCATC